CACACACACACACACACACGCACACACACACACACACACACACACACACACACGTTGTTCCTGTGGCTCAGTGGTAGAGCATTGCATTAGCAGCACAAGAGATCGTGGGTTCAGTTCCCAGGGAACACACATACTGGGAAAAAATGTATAGCCTTAATGCATTGTAAGTCGCTTTGGATAAAAGCGTCTGCTAAATGTATAAATTATTAAATTAAATTATCTATATATATACCATTTTCTATTCTTTTTCTATTCCATCTACTTGTTTTCCTTTTAATTATTATGAAAAAATAATAATAACCTGACCCTGTAACACTAACTCTATTTATTCTATCTCTTTTCAATCTACTTTTTATTTATTATTTTAAAAAAACTTGCTACGTGTACTGCGTTAGACGAACTTGGACTTGTCATATAACTTATATATTGTTGTTCTTTTGTTGCTCTTACTTACAATTGTCAATTTATATATTTTTATTCCTTATTTACTTGTTCTATTTTTTATTTTTTATTTATTCATATTTTTTATTATCTGTGTTTTTTGTTCTGTCACTGTCATTCTGTTACACTGTGGAAGCTTCTGTCACGAAAACAAATTCCTCGTATGTGTAAACATACCTGGCAATAAAACTCATTCTGATTCTGATTCTGATTCTTCTTATATTTTTGTTTTGCTTCTATTGCGTTCTAGTTGCTTTGGATAAAAGCATTTGCCAAATTAATATATATATATATGTATATATGTGTGTGTATATATATATATATATATAGTAAATGTGGAGGATTGCTATATTTTTCCAATAATGTTTTCCAGTCAACAGACTACGCATGGACTGGGCCAGTGCTCAAATCAGATGGCATCAGCAGCTGCAAACTCAGATCTATCCTTGCCCTTCCTGAGGCCTGGCTTTGATTACTGGGCCCCCCACCATGAGCCAACACATGGCCATGAGCGCATACCAACTCAGTGCACAACCTCTGAGCAACCACTTGGAAACAATCAAGAGGTAAATAGCATGAAATAGAGGTGTTTGGAAATGGTTTGGAGAGATCGTGCAGATTAGGAGAGTATTTAGTAATTGCTCAAAGCCAGATCATTCTTGCCTTTGGAACTTTCACAAAGGGCGTTACAGGCAGAGGCGAGCAGGAATCGTTGCCACAGAAAGTCATTTGGGAAACTGTAACCAGAGGTCAGAGTCACGTGGGTGAATGTCAGATTGTTCTATCGTTGTTCTTCTACGTGTAGTGAAAATCACAGTCCCGGAGGAAACTATTGGAATCATTTGACAGCTGTGTTTGGCTAGCTTCTTGCATGAGTTTTGATGGAGGTTGTGACTGGCAGCTGTAGCTGCCATTCTGCTACCTGTTGAGTGGCCTTGGAACTCTTAGACAAATGACATGACAGGTGCACTTCCAGCTTAAGTACCTGCTCCTCTACAAAGCAGCTGCGGTGATTGCTGGTAGGTAGCACAAGACAAAGAAAACAACAGCAAGTCTGCTCTGAATTACACTAGGTTTGCTCATATTTTCCAGTTCTGCTCTCACCAGTGCAAAGCACAGTTTGTCCGAGGCTATCGAATAAACCCATTATCTTTTGAAGAACACTCAAATAAACACACACTCAGGAAACTGTCACAGCTGCAAGGTCAGAATGAAGGCTTAAGGCATAAATTTGGGATGTTTCTCAAGATGAATTTAGATAAATTAGATGCACGCATGTGAAAAAAATAGGGTATATTCGGTATAAATATAATGATAAATCAGTGCAACACCTGTAGTTTGTTAATTCACAATGCACTCTTTGTAACCTTATCAGTAACTTTGTTATACTAAAGTTTTGTTAATATTTTCTATTCTATTGTAAACCTAACCTTAAACCTAACGAAAATGTTTATTAAATGTTAAATGAAAAATGTTGCCTTTGGCAATAGCTTAAATAAAAGTAGTTTACATTTAAAACAATAATGCTTATTTAATTTAAATTTTTCATGTTTTTAGTTTACATTTTAGTTAACGATAACCATCCTGATGCAAATATAATTCAATTATCTACGTCCATCATAATGCATAGTTAACTTAGGTGAATAAAACTTTGAAGTGAATTAAAATGTCTTAATTTAGTATAAAAGTACTTATCTCTTCCTTAATAGTTAGATATGTTTTATTGTTGTTTTTGGACTTGATTTGATAACAATATTACAATAAAATATGTGATGTAATATTTAGGCCAGTATATGTTAGGCAGAAATTGGCACATAACCTTGTGTAACCTTGAATATATTTGCCAAACTTTTTATTTTAAACAACAGTTGTATTGTAGTTGCTGTACTACAATACAACAGTGCTAAACTCTAAAAATGCTGGGTTAATTATAACCCAGCGCTGGGTTAAAAAGGGACAAACCCAGCTATTGGGTTGTTTTGACATAGCTGGGTTTGTCCCATTATAACCCAGCGCTGGGTTATAATTAACCCAGCATTTTTTAGAGTGTAGTATTTTAATAAATTAATCATATTTTTCATAAGTTGTATGTACTGTATGTATGTATGTGTGACATATAAATATGTATGATCAAAATAGGTATTTTCCATGTGGCTGCCCCTGTTTCATAATAAATTTCATAAATTTAACATTAGCTTATGACTGATATGTCAACGATATTTGAGGCAACATTTCAAAGCTTTAGGTTGAACAATTTCTGAATAAAAAGTGTTACTGTTTTCCCCCTTTTTTCACTATCATTGCACATATTTTGCAATATAAAGTATTTTAAAACATTATACTGCATGTTTTGAAAGCACATTTGTTTAATTTGCAAAAACCTATTGGCATTACGAAAAGTAGTTTGATGGGCCTCTAGCTGAACACTGTAAATTCCAAAGGTTTTCAGGTCTGACTAATAGGATTGCTGTGTCACTATGTCTTGTCTATATCAGCAAGAGTAATTCTCAGCTTCAAGGACATCCCGCACCATAAACGCAACACGGAAACTTTGTGGTACGTGACACACAGCATGATAGCAGACCCATAAAAGTAATTACCTATGATTTTTTAGCATTGCCAATGACATCACAAACATTCTTCAAATGTCCCTTACATCAACCTGTGACTTACTGTAACCTCATGAATCTTAGTTCTCTCTGCAGGAAGTAATAATCAGTAAATAAATGCATAAAACGGGTTTATGTTTACATCTTTGTTGCTTAACATCTGAGATTAAACATGTTGTATAGTAAATTGGTACAACCTTGTCCAGAAATATTACAATAAATAAAAATCAGCTATACCTATAGTGCTGGGTAGATTACTTACAAATTGTAGTCCTTTACTGATTACAGATTGCATGATGAAAGTTGTAGTTAGTAACACAATCTAAGTTGTTTAAAACCTACCGTTACTTTCCCCCCTCAAATTCAGAAGCATGGATCACAAAATTATTTACATGGCCATTCTATATTCTGAATATTGTCAAAGCTAAATGTAATGACATACAGCAGTATTTTTGGAAAGGAAAGATTAAAAGAGAAAAAGAAGAATTAGGGAGAATCAATAAATTATGAATAATTTACTGCCATTATATGAATATGTAATCATGTAATCCATAAAAAGTAACTGTAATCTGATGGAGCATTTTAAAATATAATATAATCCAATGAGGACTCAATTTTTGTAATCTGATTACGAAATCCAGATTACATGTAATCAGTTACTACCCAGCACTGGCTATACCATACCATAAAATCATGTGTACACTGAGGGCTAAATATGATATAGATGTGTAAGATAAAATATTACTGCAATGTGCTCATTCTAAGTGTTGCACAAGTTGCTAAAACTTTTTTTTTCTTTGCATGTTTTAACAGAAAACATACGACCATGCAGAGTTTTCACTACAAAACATTTGGAAATGGTCAAAGACACAAGGTAAAACCTCACCTTTGACTGTCTATAAACAAAGATTAGATTACAAAAGCACACCACTTAAGAGAACAGCATGCGATAGACACACGTTTACAGTCGTGTTAAAATCCTCATCAAGTGAGCAGGTATACCGAATATGAAAATGAAGCATGACAGTAAATGTGGCAGGAAACAGATAAGTTCTTGGCCTGCGGTCATTCATTTTCATTTTTAAATCACCTCTGACTAAAACATGTGGTGGCTCCCATCCCATTGCGGCATCTTACATCTGGTGGGCTAAGCAGGATAAGCCAAGTCAAGCCCACGGCGCTCTTCCATGGACCTATTGTTTGTGACCGTCCCATCTGCCCAGATTCGCCAGTATCAAGCGCGGGAGCAGATGAGTGGGCATCCGCAGGGACCCCCGCTGTAACATCACAGAAGGAATGCTTCATTTGAGGAATTGAATGAATATCCCTCTTCAACCAAAAATGAATTGCGCCTCAGAAAATGGAGATTTAATTTTCTCATGATAAGGAAAAAAAAAAGTGCTTGCCAAATGACTTCTTCTTTCTTCCATCTTTTGAGTAACCCATATTTAAAGTAATATTTACAGTCAGTTGCTTGTTGTATGATGGGAATCTCCATACTGCAGAAACAATTGATTTTAAGTTACTAAAACATTTTCAGATTCAATAAACTTATTTAAATAGATCCGTATTGTTTACCATTAGTATTTACCTTTAAAAAACATGGAAAATAAATTAATACAGTATACATTAGCATAGATTTCATGGCATTTAATCTTCATGGCCAGTGACACCGATGACTGTAACACAACAACTATAGCCTATAAACTACACAATAGACATTCCAGTCTCTCAGCTGCATGTCACCAGGTCTTCTGTGCGCCGCCTCGGCGTAACCATTTCAGTGGCTGTGACAGACTAATATGCGGCTCAAGCCTTCAATAAAAAGGCGACGACAGCCATGTTAGGTGAATGAGGATTTGAAGAAAAGCAGTGAGTTCAGCAGGTGTTCCTTTAGCTATGAATCAATTTGAGACTCTAGTTACTATTTCTGATTCCAGCAAACTGTATATTCATTAATCATCGAATGTGAAAGGACAAAATATTTACTATGCCTATTCTGTTTAGTGCACTGTAATTTTTTTTTTTTTTAAGTTTCTGGAGTATGTTTTAAAGAAGATACTATTTAAGTTTTTCTCCCTTGTATGTGTTGTTTGTCTCTTTTTTGTAATTATTTGTCAAATTTACTAGCAATTTCTTAGTGAAAACTGTTTCAAAGTAAATCCTGAACTTTTTTTTTTCAGTGTAAGAGTTTTTAGTTTTAGTGTGATGAAATTTACCCAATGAAATTTAAGGTAACATCAGCAAGTCTAACCACAGTAGGAATTTTTAATGACTTAGAAGCAAGTGAAATGTCATTAGTCAAAACTAATAGATATGCTAAAGTGTTCCCTTTTTAGAAATCAGACAGATGTTCGATTTGTGTAAATTACAACTTTTAAGTGGGTAATTTGCAGTGAAAACATGGTGAAACAAAGAAGAAACATTATGAGTGAAAAATTAATGATCATTTTGATGTCATGAAATAAGTCCTCTTGACAGGAGAAAGAAACCCCATTTCTGGCCAGCATTCCTCTGTGTTGGTTTTTGTTACAGCTGCCAGTGCAAATTTACCCCTCCTCGTAGGCTGTGCTTGAAATAGGCTTATCTTTTGAGGGGCCTGATCAGTTGACAATAGCCCATTTAGATGTTAAAGCTGAGTGCTGCTCTTCTCATTTCTACAAAAGATAATTATTCCTTCAAATAAGTTACTTCAAGGCTCCTTTTAGCACTTCTGTAAAAAGTGGAATAATAAGGCTTTGAATTATGAGGAAAAACTGAGATTTTCGAGATACAACCGACAATAGACAAAGAAGCACATGCCTGAAATGGTCGGGCTGGGAGCACTGCGAAACAAAGACGACGAGGGTCCGGTTGAGAAAAGCTGATTTATATTTGAATGATTGGGACATCATTGATAAGCCGCTCTTTTTAGCGCTCACAAGTCTTGGGAGAAAGGTGGTATCTAAAGACTGTCAGAATGCACTCTGGAGTCCTGCTGATATCTTTTGTCATAGCTGAATAAATCGTGACTAACAAGGCCAAGAGTGGATTAGCCACAGAGGATTAAACAGGTTGTTGCTTGAGGTTTGTCTAACATCAAACTACTGATTACTGTTTCCATACGAAAACATGCACGAAATGCTACATTCAGGCGCTTTAGCTTGTTTCGTCGGCAAACAATGTGCCGCTAATGACGCGCTGCAAATGGGCGAAAGATTCAGATCGCTAACAAATGCGCAGTCAGAGAAGCTTAAAAGCTTGTTACTATCGCCAATGCTACGAGCTAGAAACGCACAGCAAGCGGTCGCAACAATTGAAGCGGAGTCTTTGAAAGCGAGAGGGCCGTGAGAGACGCGAGCCTACGAGACGTAAATAATAGAGACACTGGCAAAGAACGTTATGTGGAGGAAGAAGAAACCGCCTCCATTATCAACAGCACACAATTGATGCACATGCCATCTTCACGGTTACCTCAGTGTGCGCAAGAACAACTTTTAGCCGTTCTTCAGCGTAGACTTTCCTCAACAGATCGGGTCTCGCGGTACGCAGTCTGCGGCATCGCCGGCCACCATCTTTAAGCACAACTGGGTTTAGTTGGCGATGGTCCTCCCCTCCATCTTTCTTTATCTTCTCGCTTTCCACCCAGCCCCCTCTCGGTTTGTTATGAGGGCTCTTCTTTTGACATCATATCATGGTATCGACAGGTTCCCGGATGGCTCGGTCGGGAATCGGCGAGAACATGGAGCTCTTGCTGCTGCGCTTCACCCAATGGTGGATTCTCTGACCATGCTTGATTATCTCGAAACATATCCGCCGAGAACAAATATTCATCCCAGATCTGAGGCCTTTGATCTGATGAAGGCCCGATTTGAAAGCCCCCTCCAAGGAGCCCTTTATAGACAGGGTTCCCTCAGATGTTCCAAGTAATGAGATTTAGAGTGCTATGATTATCTAGGCCAATTTCATACACACAGACACACAGACGAAAACACAAAGACATGGACATATGCATACTCGGACTGATCGAATGAAGTTTGCGCGACGATTCCTCCCATCCGCAAATTAACGGAAAAATATATACGAAAAGCGAACAACAGCCCAGCTGGAGATCTTTGATCGCGCTTTGGAAAAAAATGTATCTGGCTTCAACAATCATATTAAAAAAACTACGGCCGCGCCGTTTCTTCTCGCTTTCATTTGTCCAACGTTCAACGTCCAGACTATTATTCCAGGACGATCAGCGTTTATTTGTACTGGTAATGCTAATCTTGTTGACCACCATCTCTGACACATTTCACGGAGTCGACTCCAAGGACAATAACATGAGTTAAGTCTCAAAATGGTTGATGCTCTCACCTGCCTCTCCTGCTGGGTGTCTCCTCCGCTGTGATTTCTGCGGTCCGCCATGACTGGGCGCAGTCGCCTACTTGCCACCCCGGACTACTTTCTTATACTCATGAATCTCTTTCTGTTTCTTACTACTGTGTTGCTGAAAGATGTGCATCTTTACTTTATGTTGCAGCTTCAGCTCTGCAAGCTGATTGGTGGATGCAAGGACCAGAAGATAGACCTCGGAACCCTATTGTAACTATGGCAACAGACCCCACAGGAATGAGTGATTTGCTCCTAATTGCAAAGTAAACATTAGAAATGGAACTGGATATTATCGCAAAGTGTGACGAACCTTGGGGTGGCGATTACAGAAATGCAATAAGCTTTGAAAGGAAAACAAAGCTGAGTGCTGTCCGATATGCTGCCCATTCTGAGCAGGATGAAAAGGGAAGCACAAAGACCACAGAATAGCGGTCCTTTTCAAACAGCTATGCACAGTTTTCAGTGCTTCACGCCAATGCTATTTGATGTTTGGGAGTGTTTCATTCATCACCAGACAACAACAACAGACCAGCGATGGGAAAAATGCACAAATATACATAGCGAGGCGAGATGAACAAAATCGGTGTAGGCAGATGAGAGTGCTGGAAAGGAAAACGTAGAGAATGCGAAAGATGATATTGCCTTTGTTGGGTAATGTTATCAGCTGCTTACCTTTCATACGGATTTCACACTTGCTTGTCTAGTAGCAGCCAGGGTCGGACCCAGCAAACCCTTCCCACAATGACCGATTTTCCATTCAAACCATCCTGGCGAGGATCCTTGGATTGCCTGCCACTTGCATTTGCATTGGCGCCGCCACTCTCGAACAAATTTACCACACACACTTTGTCTTGTTTTCAGGACTTCACATCATGCTGTCTTTGGGCTCGTGTCGGCTAGCAGTGGACTCTTATTGAAAAGACAGTTTTGATTCCGCACGCCACACATTCAAGAACAGCTATGTGACTAGTGAGAAAAGAAAGTCACTACAAAATAGCAGCTGGCCATTAGTCTCAGTGGCCCCTCAGCCCCCTGCACAGGCTCATATGTTTTTTTTTTTGGG